TGGAGGATAGTGGATGGCACTAGCACTTTAAAGCTAAGACCTTAAAACTGTTACCCATGTAAATGTATTAAGAGGTTGTTTTCAGCAGAAAGAACAGCATATTCAAAGGCTCAAAAGTAACAGTAATTGTGAGTTATTGAAGAACTGACAGAAAGTCAGCATAGTTGGATGGAAAGTCAGGCAGAAAGTAGCTAAAAGTAAAGCTGGAAAGTAGGAAAGGCTTGAATTACAGAGGGCCTCTTAAGGACATCGAACAGTTTTAAGCAGGGCACTGATATGGTCAGATCTGTGTTTTGTTTCATATTTTCATAAAAGATCTGGAGTTGATAAATAAAACAACAAGAAAACAATACTCCTAGGATGATGAGTTATAGTGTTTGGAACTCCACTCTGATGCCCAAAGGGATATGAACATAAACAGCCTCATGCAAAAGGGACCTAGAATGTTCTGAGCTAGATAGTTTGGGACTGTATTCTAATTGATTTCATTCAATCACTATCTTACCAGATATTTATGAAGTGCTTACTATGTGCCTGGCACACTTCCTTGGTCATAAAATGGTGACTAAAATCTGATCTTTGTCTTCAAGAAACTTAGAACTTCTTCCCAATAGATAAAGACTGAGAGTTGTACCATTTACGAGTATGGCCTGGTTGGTTAATTTTTATATATGATTTATCCACAGTAAAACCAGGTTACTTGATTAAGTCTCAAGTTTATCTCCATAAAAGCAATAGCTGTCGTCTAAGGATGATTTCTTAGTTGATTTGTTCTAATGTTCCAGTTGGCAAAACGAGGTCCTTCCTAAGTTAGATCAGTGTCTTCCACTGTTGCAAACACTGTCATCTAACCTTTTTAATCTTGCCAGATATTTGGAAATGCTTGTCTTTATGCAAAGAGAACTAAAGGAGGGAATATAGTCAATCAGCAGGAGCACCAAGTTCAACAGCAAATACAGCTTCAAGTATATCTTCTACCGATGATGGATCTGTTATTTCATTTTATAAGACAGCATGATGTCGCCGTTATTATCATCACTGCAGCAATAAAATGAATCTGCTGCTAATCCATATATAAATAATATGCCTGGAGAAACATTTTCTGCACTTTGATTATAATGTACTTTATTACCATGTTTATTGAAAACTTGTGTAATAATATTTTCCAGTTGGAATTTTCTAACTGTTTTGTCTTTAAGCATATTTGAAAATCAAATGTCCTTTTCAAAAGATTTTTCTTCATCCTTTTAGAGCAATGTCTTATCAATCTGATTTTAAGCATTTTGTTGATTCTCTAAATGGAAATACAGAATGTTAAAAATATATGATATGTGAATAAATTTGCCCCAAAATTTTAAAATTAGAGAGTTCTGGGATCCCAAAAGTTCACACAATTAAATTTGTAAGAAATATTTAAAACAATTGCAGCAGTAAATAACAAATATTGAGATATCCACTAAAGAGTTTAGACTGAATAGAATTATCAGAATTTAATCCAATGGATTTTGAGTGTCAATCTTAATATATTTTATTGTAAAAGTGCATTCGAAAATGAGGATAATGAACAGAAAGGTTGAAAGTACTGCATTTTCTAAAGGAGAAAGTGCACTTGACTTTCAGAAATGGACCTAAGACTGTAACTTATGACCTAAATCTCTGAAGAGGCCTCAAAGAATCACAACACTTCATCAGTTTTCTTCCTTGAGGTTTATTTCCTTGAGGATTTATGCTTTATTGCCAATTAAGCAGTAGATAGTGATTTGCTGGTAAGTTTAATTTTTGAGATTGGAAATATTTCACATTTTTCCTTTTTTCCAGAACTCATCTAGACACCTCAGCTGAGTTGCGGTATTCAGTTGGGTCCCTAGTGGACAGCCAGTCTGATTACAGAACAACTAAAGTAATAAGAAGGCCAAGAAGAGGCCGCATGGGTGTGCGAAGAGATGAGCCAAAGGTTAATCTTCTAATTTCAACTTTTCTAGTTTTATTTAAATACATCATTCCATTTTGGATAGAATGTTAACACTGAGAGAATTCAAAATGCCAGCATTTTTATTAGTTTGAAGGATGGACTATGGCATTTTAAGAATCGTAACTAATATAAAGCCACTACTATGTGCCAGAAGTTGAATAAGCGTTTCCCACGTATTTATCCATATAACATTATGAAGTGGCTACTATTTTTATACTAATTTCAGACATAAAAATCTTGAGGCTCAGAAAGATCCACTGTTCAACATCACATAGGTAGCAAAGTGATGGAGTCAAAATTTGGGCTTATATTTCTGTGGTTTCAAATACTATGCCTTAATCATTATGCTATATTGCCTAGCACATGGACTTTTGGGTTGCTTGGGCACTTAAGCAATGGTATTCATATTGTTAATTCAAATTAATTAAATATTTTAATTAAATTTGCTATTTTAAAAACACTTTGAGCAAAATATACATTCCGTCAATAACTTAAAATTTGTAATCTATGCTTGTTGACTAATGTGTTAATAGTTGTATTTTATAGAGAAGTAATATAGTTACTTAGGGTACTTTGTACCCTAAGTATAGTTTTTTTCTCCTCAACCACTTTTATTTACCCAAAATACTATATAACCCATTTGTCCTTATTTGTCCAAAGGCACTTGACACCTTTTGGGTTTTAACTGGCACTAGTATGTCATGTATACATTAATCCCTCATAGTAGGCATTTAATATCTCTTGAATACATGAATAAATAAATGAATAAATGAAGACCGAATTAAATTCATCTCAGTTCTTTTCTCATTATTATGGAACAAATAATTTAGTGCTACTTAGTACTAAAACAAATTGTAACACAAATGCTAATTCAGGTACTCAGTTTTTAAGTCAATGCTCAGGGATATATCATGTGATCTTCCATATAAATCATTTTACATGATCACAAAAATGAAAACCAATTTTTTAAAAAGCAGAAAACTCTGGGACCTCTCTTTTATGCTCAATCCGTTCATTCTGTCAGATCACAGCATAAAAAACACTAGTTTGTTCGTTACTCAATATTGTCATTCAAATGGAGGATTTCTCATATTAATTTAAAAAACATAGCCATGTAAATTAGCATATCTAAGGCTTAAAAAATCAATGAATCATTCAATTTACTACAGTAGTGGAGTTGAAATTACAGGCATACCTCATTTTATTGTGCTTTGCTTTATTGTGCTTCACCGATAATTGTGATTTTTACAAATTGAAGGTTAGTGACAAGTCTGCACTGAATGAGTCTATGGGTGCCATTTTTCAACAGTATGTGCTCACTTTGTGTCTCTGTGTCACATTATAGCAATTCTCACAATGTTTCAAACTGTTTCTTCATTATTGTATCTGTTATGGTGATACATGATCAGTGATCTTTGGTGTTCCTATTGTAATCATTTTGGGGCACAATGAACTGCTCTCATATATGATGGTGAACTTAATCCATAAATGTTGTATACGTCGTTGCTGCTCCACTGATAGCCATTTCCCTTCTCTCTCCCTTTCCTTCAACCTCGCTATTTCCTGAAACACAACACTATTGATATTAGGTCAGTTAATAACCCTACAGTGGCCTCTAAGTGTTCAAGTGAAAGGAAGAGTTGTATGTCTCTCACTTTAAATCAAAAGCCAGATGATTAAGCTTAGTAAAGTAAAGTATGTTGAAAGCTGAGAGAGGCCAAAAGCTAGGCCTCTGTCATCAGTTAGCCAAGTTGTGAATGCAATGGAAAAGTTCTTGGAGGAAATTAAAAGTGCTACTCCAGTGAACACACAAATGATAAGAAAGCAAAAAAGCTCTATTGCTGATATGGAGAATGTTTCAGTGGTCTGGATAGAAGATCAAACCAGCCACAACATTCCCTTAAGCCAAAGCTGAATCCAAAGCAAGACCCTAACACTCTTCAATTCTGTCAAAGGTTGAGAGAGGAGAGGAAGCTGCAGAAGAAAAGTTTGAAGCTAGCAGAGGTTGGTTCATGAGGTTTAACAAAAGAAGGTGTCTCCATAACATTAAAATGCAGGGTGAAGCAGCAAATGCTTATGTAGACGCTGCAACAAGTTATCCAGAAGATCTAGCTAATTGATGAAGGTGACTACACTAAATAACAGATTTTCAATGTAGACAAAACAGCCTTATGTTGGAAGAAGATACCATCTAAGACTTTTTCACCTAGACAGGAGTCAATGCCTGGCTTCAAAGCTCCAAAGGACAGTCTAACTCTCTTGTTAGGGGCTAATGCAGCTGGTGACTTTGAGTTGAATCCAATACTATTTACTATTCAGAAAATCCGAGGGCCCTTAACAATTATGCTAAATTTACACTGCCTGTGTTCTATAAATGGAATAACAAAGCTTAGATGAAAGCACATTTGTTTACAGCATGGCTTACTGAATATTGAAAACTCATTGTTGAGACTTCATGCTCAGAAAAAGATTCCTTTCAAAATATTACTTCTCATTGACAATGCACTTGGTAACCAAAGATCTCTGATGGAAATCGGAAATATACAAGGAGATTAATGTTGTTTACATGCCTGATAACACAACATCCATTCTGTAGCCCATGGATCAAGGAGTAATTTTGACTTTCAAGTATTATTATTTTTGTAATGCTGTAATGACATAGATAGTGATTCCTTTAATGGATCTGGACAAAGTCAATTGAAAACCTTCTGGAAAGGATGAGCAAAGAAAGTGGTTTCTTGAGATGGAATCTACTTCTGATGAAGATGCTGTGAATATTGTTGAAATGACAAAAAGGATTTAGAATATTACATAAACTTAGTTGATAAAGCGTGGCAGGTTTTGAGAGGATTGACTCCAATTTTGAATGAATACTGTGAGTAAAATGCTATCAAACAGCATTGCATATTACAGACAAATCTTTCATGAAAGAAAGAGTCAATCAGTGCAGCAAACTTCACAGTTGTCTTATTTTAAGAAATTCTCACAGTCACCACAACCTTCATCAACCACCACCCTTATCAGCTTGCATCCATCAGTGTCAAGGCAAGATCCTCCACCAGCAAAATGAACAAACTCACTGAAGACTCAGAGGGCCCTTGACACTTTTTTGTTTTAGCAATAAAGTATGTTTTCATTAAGGTACGCTCATTATTTTAGACATAATAATATTGCACACTTAATAGACTGCAGTATACTATAAACATAACTTTTATATGCCTTGGGAAACCAATAAACTCATATGACTCAGTTTATTGCGATATTCACTTTGTTGTGGCGGTCTAGAACCAAACCCATAATATCTCTGAGGTATGCTTGTAAGTCACTTTGCAATATTTTTAATAATATTTTGTTATAATCTATGTAAATGAATACTGGGAAGATAATTTTTATGTATTTTCTTGTGTGATAATATTTGTGGTCTGAGCTCATAATAGTAAAAATATCAGTAAGACTAGTATAAGAAATGTGAATGCTTAAGTACAGGTGAAGAGAGATTGTTATATTTGGAAAAAAGTGTTGCAAATGTAGATGCTCTAAAGTAATTATTACCTTGAAATGTGACCAAGCTATAAATCACATGGAAGTTTATCATCTTTATTTCTATTAAAATCTTGATATTTATGTTGACAATTAATACCTGACATTACTTAAGATGTCAAGGAACTATTTTATTGAACCAATAAATTAAAATGTTAATAACTGGTTCTACTTTTGCAAGGTCATCTAGGAAAGCATGCATGTTGGTTTTGTTGTTGTCTTTAAGATTAGCGTTTTGAAAATGAACAATATGATAAATAGTCCACATTGTTCATTTATCATTCAGGTGAAATCACTTGGGGATCATGAGTGGAATAGAACTCAACAAATTGGAGTACTAAGCAGCCACCCTTTTGAAAGTGACACTGAAATGTCTGATATTGATGATGATGACAGAGAGACAATTTTTAGCTCAATGGATCTTCTCTCTCCAAGTGGTCATTCTGATGCCCAGACTCTAGCCATGATGCTTCAGGAACAACTGGATGCCATCAACAAAGAAATCAGGTGACTTCAATTGGTACTGATGGTTTCAAGGGATTAGAAGACCTTGATATTGTACCAAGAATGTAATTATCAGATCAGAAGCATTAGTATTACCTGGGAACTTGTTAGACCTGCAGAATCTCAGACCTCAACACATACCCACTGAATCAAAAGGTGCATTTTCACAAGATTCCCAAGATATCTGTATATCTCCTGTATAAAATTAGGACATCCTTTGTAAGGAACATACATGAAGCATATATAGACTAGTAACATTAGGGGCAATAGAAAAGAATGAATTAAGAATACATTTTTCTGCAATGAAGTTTAAAACGCTGTTAAACTTAAAATTTACTATTTAAAGGAAAAGAATGCAATAAGGTACATTCTTCAATACATTTCATATGGCAATAAAGGTGCCAAATAGCATGCAAAATAATGTGCTTTCAGCTACCTTAAAAGTATTTAAACACTAGAGTGAAATTAATTTAATGTTCTTTTTGTCCATTTTAAGGCCATTATATCAGAGATGGTGTATTTCATTGAACACCTATGGAACGTGTCTTAGTCTCCTTGGGCTGCTATAACAAAATACCATAGACTGGTGGCTTAAACACAAAATTGATTTCTCACAGTTTTGTAGGCTGGAAAGTTTAAGATCAAGGTTACAGCAGGGTTGTTTCTGGTGAAGCCTCTCTTCCCGGCTCCAGGGAAAGTGAGGGACATTAATTCCATGAGATTAAGGCTCCATTCTTATCACCTCATTTAGCCTCAGTTATCTCCTAAAAGTCCTGTCTCCAAATATAGTCACACTGGGAGTCAGGGCTTCAACATGTGAATTGAAGAGAAGGGGCACAATTCAGTTTATAGCAGAGCATATGTGAAAGCAAGATAGGGTGCTCTTCTCTACCAGTAATACTTAGGTTAAAAAAAAAAACGTTAATGCTTTTAACTTTTAAAAACTAAAGGTACTACTACTATTCTTAACAATAAAAGTTAAATTTATATAGTAATATAATGCCTGAAAAATGCAGATTGTTAATCTTAACACTTTTGGTTGGTTAATTGTATTTGTTATCAGCCTCCAAGGGAGGTATTTTCAGGCTCTTGGTACTCTTGGGAGAAAAGAATTTCAGGATGCAACACATAAGCCAAAAGGAATCAGCTTTTATTGAGAGCAAAAGTGAAAGTTCACTCTCTCAAGAGAGAGGGAGTGGGCAGGCTAATAAAGAGCAGCTGCACCAGAAGGAAGTGGTTTTGGTCTTACGAAGTTTCACTAATTGAAAACAAGAATATTCAAAGCTAAGGGGTTGGTTTTTACTAAGAATTTGGGTAGTAATTCCAAGAATTGGGTTATCTCCCATTTTCATACTTTATATATTAATAGTTATTTCAGAACTGACATAATGATTTCAAGGGTGGAAAATTTTAAAACCACAATGCAAATGATATTTTAATTAGCCACAGTTCATGTAAGGTGACCTAGATAGCTGACAAGCTGGTTGAGGCTGGTTCTTGTCTGTGGCTCTCAGCCCCTGTTAGTTAGACCTTAACACCTGCACTCACTTTGCAAGCCCCTGCATCTGGCTCCTAGCCTAGTAGCCTAGTTAGCTTCTGCCTAAAGCTTGTTTATTTCAGTACCTGCATTCACTCTGCAAGCCCCTACACCCAGTCTCAGCCCAATTTCCTAGTCTCCTACTGTAACATATTCACTGGTGCCTAAAACTTGCTTTTCAAGTTTGGCTGCTACATACAATATTTTAAACTGAGATCCAATTCTTATATAGATTTCTTTTCATGATTAATTAATATTCTTACATCAGTGAAGATAAACTTTTCACACATTAGTATTGAAGTTTATGGCAAATCAGACTGATCAATAAAAATCCTCTGCTATTTGGGGGAAATATGTGTGCAAATTTTCTAAGTAAGCAAAGAGGACCAAATTCATTTGCATTCTTTAAACATAAAAGGCTTAATACATCTGCAAAATATAATTTAATATTATAGCCTAAGAAGTCTCTTTATTATATTTTCATTTCAAAGGCAATAAAACGGGGGTGATGCATTCAATGAATTATTTCATACTCGATATGAAAAAATTTACTATCACCATATAGTATCCTGATAATGGGTGGTTTCCATTATACAATTGAAATTGTACAAATTGACATTTCAAATAGTGAGAAATGTTGGCATTATGATTATTTCAATATTAATTTAATATATAGTTTCTTGAATCTCAATGATATCCAGTTTTTCTGTCATTACCTTGACTAACCCCAATGAAGAACCCACTGTTTCAGGTGGATTTGATTTTTCTAATATCAGGGAACTATTCTTAACTTGTTTTTTCAACTGATGAAAAGGACTTTACTATTTTGAACAATGCCTTTATCTGGCTCCATCTAAATCTGTTGGACACTTTCTAATATGATTCAAATCTACCTAATTTTCTACTCTTATCATCCTACTGCACATGAAAATAGTTACTCACCTGGATGACAACAACAGTTTCTATCTGGTTTCTTTGTAGTATTTGAGCTCTCAATATGATCCAACCTAACACTGCACCAAGAGCAGACTTTTGTAAGGACAAATGTGCTTATGTATTCTCCCTTTTTCAAACCCTTCAATTGCTCTTATGATAAAGACCAAAATTATTATTTTTTTTTTTTGAGACAGAATCTCACTCTGTTGCCCGGGCTAGAGTGCTGTGGTGTCAGCCTAGCTCACAGCAACCTCAAACTCCTAGGCTCAAGCAATCCTTCTGCCTCAGCCTCCCGAGTAGCTGGGACTACAGGCATGCACCACCATGCCCGGCTAATTTTTATGTA